CCCTCGAATTTAAAGTTGGAAAGCACAAGACCTTCAAAGAAATTAAATTTCGTGTACGTCATGAATACTAGTGCCATTGGTTTTTCGAATTTTCCGACGGTACTTGAACATATCATAGCAATACCTGCAGGACTCCACTAGATGACGTATTCTGCAAAGAAACCACTCAGCCCTAGAGTAGAGAGGGCTCTGCTTCTGACTTGTGCTGGAAACTGGACCTAAATTATGGACAATAACTTTTTTCTTTTCTTTATCTACATGTGTGTAGAATAATTTTCACCACCAACTAAGATATTTAAAAGCTGTATAAATAAAAGAAATAAAAAAAAATTTGCACACACCCTACTGACAGAAATAAAAACCTGGAGCTGGTTTGCTTCTGTATCATTGAATGTGTACTTGTCTAATACATGCTGTTCTTTGCTGGCAGAGGAAATGAAGCCCTGTACTTGGTCCCTCCCAGGCCGCATGATGACGTTGTCCTGCTGACACTACGGATGTGGCCCTCATTGCTGGAATCTATTTTTAGATCCAGCCTCAAGGGCCAGACAGACAAACAGGGCAAACTGTCACTCAGACCACCTGCCACAGTTAGGCAAGTAGCCAAGGCATGCTGGCTGTGCGAGACTGAAAAAAGAATAAGAGTACTGCAGTTGTGACCTTCATCAGAGGCTTCAACTTCCTGAGAATTTTGTTTAGGTTGATAGAAATATCTCAGCGTCCCTGGTGGCCTCTGTATTGTTGGAGCTACGTGAAGGGGAGGAAAATAGAAACACATATGTATCACTCATGGGCAGGACAATATAGCTGCAGCCGAGGACAGTGGATATCATATCCTCACTATTGTTTCATGGAATGTAGGGATTTTAAAGGGGAGTTCCACTAAATTCACACATAAAGGTCATTTTATTCGTCACAAGGTAGTACTCGCCCTGTTGGAGTACTTGTACAATGTTTTCTGTGCTGCTGAATTTAAAGCTGAAAATAAAATCTAGATGATGTTGTCAGGTCAAAGTGAGGATGTGGAGTTTCAGGTTTGCATGAAAGTTCATGACCAATACAAGATAATACATAAATGCACGAATACATGCATAGTGTGCACTAAATCTAATAATGGAAACACTCTAAGAAGACCAATTCTGAGCTAATCTAGTCTCAGTTACTGTAGATAGTCCTGTCCTTGCACACTCTGTTTCAGGAGCCAGTGGTTAACTAACAGGGTTAATAGTTTTAACCCCTGCCCACCCTGCTCTTGAGCAAGACGTTGATCCCCAAAGTGTAAACACTGGCAGTGCTAGATATTTCAAAGCACTTTATCCTGCTAGAGTAGACTGTGTACTGTCACACTGGCTGTAGGCTGAGTATACAAAAGCCAAAAAAAGTCTGGTTCCACAACTATGCAGTCTATTTTAATTCAGTAAAATCTACATAAGGGACACTTTTAAGAAGAATAGGCTATAAAGACTGAATATATCACATATACATATTAAAAAACTGTTCTTTAAAGGCCCTAGTTTCTACAGCTATGGGACCATCTTTGGGTAGAGAAGCCTTTAAAGCACTCTTGAGAATATTCTATGACTTCTCTCAGAAATGTAATACTGACACCTTTAAGAAGAATGAAGAAGCAGCCAGAGGTTCTGGAGCTCTAGTACATCTTTTCCACTGATGCAGTGCCAGTGGCTAAAATAGAACTCTTTAAACGCTTTAAAGACCACACTGCTACAGAAAAGCCCCACATGCTGGTCTTAAATTTGTACCCCAAAGATCAGTGGCAATCAGAAGAAATTCACGGGTGATTGCTGATCCAGTGTGCTAAGATTTCCTTTCCCATTGGAGTCACTGCAGCTTCCATGACAGTGTTTGGTTCTAAAACTCTAAAACAAGGCCGGTTCTCCAAAGGTGCCAAGGAAGAAGTCTTGAGGAAGTCTGGTCACATGACTAGGATGACTCCATCACAGAGATGCTGTCCTAAGATGTTTGGACTCATATAGAGTTCCCAGATTCTCAGCCACCACACCATGTTTGAGGTTAGGAAAAACCTTCTCAAGGCACAGAACCCTTTGAAGTAGAAAAGCCTGGTGTATTTATTTTCAATTGTTGGCACCTGATAGAGTCCAAAGTGGCCACTTTGACATGTTTTGTCTGGATGCGCTTTAGTTTCTTATATTTTCCTCACTTTTGCTCTCAGTCTCAGGTGGAGTTGTTGGACTGGCATTAAGTCTCAGGTTTTCCTGTCTGGACAGTTCTTCCCACGCCTGTTCCTAATGGTGTGATTAATGAATAATTTTGTTGATGGGTGGTGATTGTCCTTGCTGTGGTTGTCTGTAATCTCCTGTGCCTGTGTAATGCTCTTTCTCTGTGAACATGCTGCCTCCAAGTCACACATTCCTGAAGACTGTGAGCACCATCAGCTGCTTTTCTCAGCTCTGGCATGCCAGCGCAGTCACCCTCAAAGGACTAACCTCTTCTCCACCTGCTTGCCAGCTCTCCACCCATCCCCTCTCAGCAACTAGCTAACCAAGTATACCTCCTGAGTTCTGAGTAAGACACTTGAAAACTTTCACTCTTACCAGTATCCGTCTTGCTGCACTTCAATAAACATCTAAACCTGCCAGCGTCTGCTCTTGGTTGGTTGTTCAAACCAGCTTAAGACACAGTAACAGGTGAGAAATCATATTTCATTACAGAATGAGTGTGGACATTAAAGGGAGTGGTAAAGCAAATTTACAGAGAGCTCATAAGGCACATCTATCTGCACAGCTGAGGCTATTAGAACATATCTGCTTAACTCTGGTTCTAATGTATACACCACAGATCTGCAGTGAAAGACCTGCAGTCAAAACAGTAACCTGCAATACTGCAAGACTGACCTGGGAAATGTTTGCAGGTGAGACTGATCTGGAAGACTATGCCAGTTCAGTTCTGGGATGCAGACACTTTTACATTACAAAAAAAGGACAATAAAGCTGTACAGCAAAGCAGGAATGCAGCCTTCAGGTCAGGGTACAGAGGAGCCTACAGCTCAGCCATATTTACTTCCTCCTCTCCATCTGCTTTCACGCATTCACTCATTTAGGGATCTGAATTCAGCCTACAAGAAGTGTAGCTCCTTGATCTTCCCAGTCATTCATCTGACACCAAGAAATACCAAGCAGGATGCAAACAGGCAGACAACTGCTCCGATTTGACTGTATATCATTTTATTTTGCGTTCTCAACATTGTCACAGTACTAGTTTTACATCAATGGGTATTTTTCTACTTAGAAACAGAATGCATAATAAAATAAGAGCACTCCTCTCTTCCCTTTGACTTCAGAAGTCTGGCTGTGAGTGTGAGAAAACAGAAGCATCTCAAGAAAGACGACAGAAACGGTGTTAGCCGTGTAACAATTGGCTGTTCATCTCTAGATCCTATGATAATTCAGTCCTGTCGGAGGCAGAGAGAAGCAGTTTGATTATGTAAAGATCACAAGGGAGCAGGAATGCACCTTCAATGTAACTGTAGACACTGAATAGTAATAATAAGAATAATTAATAACAATAATTTACAGACTATTTACATATGTTACTCATTCTTTATTACCAGCTTGCCATTAAAATATTTCCTCCATGTTCAGCCCTCTTTACTTTTACTTCAAGTCACATTAGATTCCATATTTACACTCAGCAGTACCCTGCCAGGTCTTTATACTCTACAGTGGAAATATGGGTGAAATGCATGCCGGAGGAGAAGGATGCACAAACAAAAAGACACACTAGCAGGCCAAAACTCGTCTAGATGTAAACAAGCACAAGTCAGGGAAGTCGTAGCTATGCTGGAAGGTTAAGTTCTAGTCAAGCACGCCGCTTGACAGAGCAACGGTTGAAAAAACAACAACAAATGAAACCAAAAAAAGAGAGTAGAAGAAAGAAACAGTAGGCATCAATGGCATGCAGCAAAGCACCTCACATGGAATCTGGACAGGTTTCACAATAGATCAGTGCTCTGAAGGAACTGGGAGGTTGTAGGGTAATAAAAGTAACTCGGGCTCCTTTTTTGGTATCTGCCTGTACCATTACTCTCTAATAGCCTGTTGGTGTTCGAATCCTGGTCTGAAGACAAACTTTGTGATTGGTCGGGTACAGCGTTGGGTTTTAAATACAGCCCCCAGTAGATTTCATGTTAAACTGATTTTAACAACGCATTATTGGCACTTTCCTGACACTGTAGCACAGAAACTGCAGCCAACTATAAGGTGTGAAAGTTACAGGAGCCTACAGTGCACGGACACAACACAATCTGTTTTAAAGGTACTTTTTGTAAGGACATATTGCAAATTGTACACATGCGTTAATAAAACGTTCACCACCAGGAGGCAGTGGTTTTCTCAGCAGGTGTGTTGAAATGTTTACGGAGGCGTCGTTCTTTTCATTTTTTATGTTTTTTATTGTGTTGCCTTTTGCAGGCTACCATTGCAAATAGGAATGTTTTCGTAATGATTTACCTGATTTACAAGTTATAAAGTTACATTTATTTCAGCACCATCTTGTGGAACAAATGTGCATTGCATGAAAGTACGGCTGGGCCTTATTTTAACTTAACCCTGTAACGCCAAGTATATCATAATTGATACATGAGCTTTTTAGACCCTTACATTATCAGTGTGATTTATTTTTTCCTGAAAAACCTGAATAAACTGCACAATAAAATTTTAAGCAATAAATTGCATAAAAATGCCAGTTGTAGCAATAAATGAAAACTCATATATGCAAATTGATATTTCACTTCTTTTTTTGTAAAAAATGAAAAGTGAGGTTGAATAAACACTCTCAAATGAATTTTCTGGCAGTTATTTCTTGGGTCAGGCTTTTCAGGGTTAATCCCATACAGAGATGACGTCGATGAAGTCATAGTATTTGGTTTTCCCCCACATTATTTGATGGCTTCAGTTCATTTCAGAAGTTTTTTATTCTAATTGAATAGATTTTAAATACGTACCTTTAAATAAAATTTTACTTTTTCAACAAAAAAAAAAGATAAAGAATCTAATTGTTTTTTTAACATTACTAAATGCTTTACAAAATCAGTAATAAAACTTTAAGAAGCACAAGCTCTGGGTTGCCAGGTTGTAAGGTCTTGGCAAATCTACATCCTCACTGAACATTTCCAGGAAATACTGAAGCAGTTCTCATAGTTTTTGTATCTTATTTGCTTAGAGTATCACCTCAATAAGAGGCAGGTTATACTGTTTTATGTGAGAGTTAGCACATGTGGAGGGGAAACTGTGCCAAGTGTGGAACCTGCTTTGTATATCAACGAAAATCACTTGAAACTGCCCTATGGACTTTGCACAAACTCTAAATTCTGCTTGCACACGTGGGAGGTTTTACTTGTGCTTTCCAAACCAGAGTGGAATCATAAAAAATTGCTTATTAAACCTACTAATGTTTGGAAACTCAACAGAGCACCTTTAGCCTGTGAAAAAGCTTTGAAAATTACATTTGAAAATCTATATACTGATAACATTGTGCAGCCAATCAGAAACTAAATGGCTTAAAAAGAAGGAGAACAGAGCTGTAACTGCTTGTTTCAGACAGCGCTAAACTGAGTATGTAATGGATTATTCTGAACAGTGAAAAGCATGCAAAGCTACTGCAATAAAAGCAGAGAGCTAAAAAACAGTGTAGCAAATACCATTTATAATAATCAGCCAGCTGCAGACTATGGATTCCTGGGAAAAAAAGCTACTTTTGGCTGCTCTTTGCCAAAGCAGTTAGCGCCTCATGTTTGATGCCCGTCCTTACACAAACACCAAGGGATCTGTGTCTCTTCTCTGGGTTGAAGAGGGGACGTTTGGCTTGTTGGGTGAATGTGTAAACTACTAGACTGTTAGAGAGAAACCTTAAAAACGTGTAATTTATAGTATATCATAAAAATGTGTAATTTCCTGTATAACTGGGTAAACATTAGGCCACAAGACACTTTCCAGAACCTGGCAACCCAAAAGTTGTCTTATAATGAATACAAAGAGCATTTCTAAGCGTATTAATCAATCAAACATTATGAAGCAAGTACAAAGTGTGGCTTTAACTGAGGGCATATATATTTAAGAATACTGATCTACTGGACACCACTTGAAAATGGTAACGTGTGCGCCGCTGACAGACAGAGAGAAAATGTGAAGATAAAAGTTTCCTTTTTAAATAATCGATTATCACTCTGATTTTCAAATGACAGAATACACAGAGCTTCCCCGTTACAGCTTTGATCAGGTCCTGCTTTAACTACAGTTGAACACTAACGATCCAGTTTAACTACTGTACTGCATGTGGATCGGGTTAAAATACAGATTTGGTTACTGATCGTCTGGAGTGACATGAACACATCGCTGACTTCGGTTAGCTGTATTTGAAGAAGTCAAAACTATTCTACCATTCTTTTTTTTTTAAACAACTGTAACACTGATATAGTTTGGGAGTACACAGTTTGAAAATAGCCTCAAGATATAACGTTACATGCAGTTCTTTTCTGTGACACTCTGCATCAGTGTGAAAGGTCCAGTTCCTCCAAATCCATGTGGATACTTGCACTTCACTGAAACACTGAGAAAGAAATGCCAGAGGACGCCGGAGGGAGAAAGTAAAGGGCGAAACTAACAGAACGACCAACAGATTGAACTTGTTCTTCAACAAAAACAAACAACAACAACAACAAAAAACAGTAAATACATATTGCACTAGTTTAAAAAATGCATCTCACAGTCTTTAAGCAGATACAGACTAACTCCTGCCATTGATATCAGCTATGTAGAATGAGCGCTGCATCTGTTGCTTTCAGAAACAGAAAATATGCTCCAGGACAGCAGCCCCCCTGCCTCCGCTCCACACACACACCACAGATACTGTGCACGGGATGACCGGGAGGTACAACCAGCCATCCCATAATATGTCAGAAAGATGATTGATATAAAACCGCTCTCCGTAATGAGTCAAGCATAAGGGCGCTGTCACCATCACAGAATGATAATTATTGATTTTTGCTCTGTGGCGTCCATCCCAGGGAAAAAACCTCAAGACAAAACAAAACAGTCAGTTACGGCACGCTCGCCGTTCCAGCAGACGCACGGGGAAACCGAAGAGGGAGAGGGCACGCTCAGCCAGCTGAGAGCTTCCACAGTGGGACATGTTTCCCTGCTGCACAGTTTCTCCCTCAGTTTCCACATGAAAAACATCCAGCGTCCTCCTCCTCCCCCTGCAGGACAGACTTGCAGAGTCCCACCAGGCTGCAGGACAGCCTTTATATATTCGTATTGTTCATTGGATTCTAAAAAAATAGTTAAAAAAATAAAAGGAGGGCAGGCAAGCAGCGAGTGCCGCTGGCTTCCTTTGCTTTCAGAGCAGGGGAGAGAGAGCTCCGGCCCGGAGACACGTGCAGTGGATGAGACTGTAGGTGGGCTGGAGTGCAGCAGCCCTCAACAATCTAACTTCTAGCTCAAAGGCAACCATTCACAGCAGTACTCTTGCGTCCGACTGCCTAACTAAGAAAAGCTTTGATTGGTTTCTTAACAGTGAAACTACGCCATCTATGTGCAAGTATAATACTGAGAGTTTTCATCGATGCTGTTTGTTCTGTAGTAATAACTATAATAATAACATTTGATATTATTATTTTACAAAATACTATGCACAATATACATAAAGCAATCTGTGTGACTAAATTAGTAAATGCTTTAATAATTGGCACATTTATCACTGCTAACAGAGATATCACAGTGCACTGTGAGCTACTGCTACATTAAATACTTGCACAGCCACGGCTGAGGCTGAGCTGTCGTCTTCGTGTCTGTTCAGCCAAACTGTCTTGACAACGTTTAAAGTTACTGTGTGAAGATTAATATGTACTTCTTGTGTAAAATACTAGTAAGCGAGTTCCGGTAGTTTACTGAGAAACAAACAGTAGTTGTGGTCTTTGTGCATGCTCTTGTCTGTTGCTCCTGAAGCGGGTAGACATGTCTTATGTCCTGAAACAAAATGATAGAAGCGGCTCTAAAAGAAAGGAAAAAAATCTGAAGGAGGCACAACGGGATCTCGTCTGGCTTCGTAGCCCCAGACCGGCGATGCACAGTGCCACCATCATGTCAGCCCAGGAGGAAAAAGTTCAGCTGCAGGGTCCAGAGAGGACGCCCTGCCCCTCACACCACTGTGCTGATGCCGCTGTGCTTGGGCTTGGTGCTGCTGGGTCCCTGGGAGGATGGTGGCGGCGCGCCGTGGTGGTGGGGAGGGCCGTGAGTGGGGTGGGTGGAGGAGTGCGGTGGGTGGCTCCCGTGCCCATGGGGCCCGTGAGGATGAGCCGGGTACGGCTGCTGTTGGCTGTGAGACGGGGGAGGGTGGTACTGGTGCGGTGGGTGCTGCAAGTGGGCCGGCGGGTGGTAGTGGTGATGGTGGTGATAAGGGGGTGGGTTCTGGGTCATGTGGCAGAACTGGGCGTGGTGCGGGTGCATGGGCACCGGTCCTTCCGTCTCCACGCGGGCTGTGTGGTGCAGGTTGGCTGGGTGCGGGGTGTGGGAGATGAGAGTAGGGTGCAGCTGGGGCTGAGGGGTGGGGCTGGGCGACTTCACACGCCTGGTGCCGAACAACGATCCGAGCAACGAGGAAGAGTTGGGCAGGGACTGGGCGCTGTGACGGGATGGGCAGTCTCGGCTGGACGGGGCTCTCCGCCGCATGTGAGGACTGCTAATGATGGACCCCTGCAAGAGAGAAGGCTGTCAGATCACACAGACAATCACGAGATCCACAGCAGACAAACGCACACCTGCACTTTCGTGTGCTCTGCAGCGTGCACAGCCTCGCTCAATTCTTTTCACAGCGGCACCGACCACATGACCAGCTACAGCTGATCTCAAATCTCCCATGATTGCTTGTGCTGCCTTGTGGAAAAGCATCTCCATTTCCTTTTCCAGTTCACTGCCTTTGTTTGTCTATCCATGCTAACATCTCACGCTCCACTCTCCCTAAATGGTCTGGAGGCTCAGCTTGCCGAGCCTGTCAGAGCCTGCAGTGTCTGCACTGTCATGAGTAGACACACAGCTTGTACGTCTTCAGCTCTGACAGCAGATGCTTTTGTGAGTTTTCATCACTCCTACCTCTGGTTTCTGAGCTCTCTAAATACATGTAAAATCACTTATGGATCTGTGGACAACAATCTGACACTGCAGACCTGAATAAGGTTTTTTGCCATTTGCATGCAGCTCATACTTTTAGATTTACTGTCTTTAACTTAAAACAGAAATTTCCCCCAAGCCTGGTGAAGAAGTAATTTGTACATTTTCTTTACATTTTCATAGCACAAAACACACAATAAACGATAAATATAACATAAGATAAATACAACACAGTCTAACCAAAATTAATAAAGCCATGCATAAAGTGCACAATGAACTTATAATAGATGATCTTCAAAATCCAAAAATTCAGCCTATTTAATTATGATCTATACGTGTGTTTTTATACATGAATACTGCTAAATTAACAGAGTTGCATAATATTCTGAATGATTTGCGATGGTGTCAGCGTGCTTTGAAGGTAGTGCATTTTATTTAAATGACAAGGAAGGGTAGTTGTGAACTGTTTTTAAAAGTTAAACACTTTGAGCTGGAACTAATTGACTTGTGATGTTGGTTTATAGTGCTGAAGGAATTTAAATCAATCTATTTATACGGCATCAAATCACAACAACAGTCACCTCAAAGTACGATATAATGTAGGGTAAAGACTGCAAAAATACAGAGAAAACTCCAATAATCAGATGACCCCTATGTGGAAGCCCTTGGTGACAGTGGGAAGGAAAAACTCCCTTTTAACAGGAAGAAACCTCCAGTACAGCTTGGGGGAGAAGGGATGGAGTAGGTTCAAAGTAAATGTGTTTTAAATGTGTTTTAAAGCCTTTAATATTTCTGTGTTCTGTTCTACAACATAAAATACATTAAAAAAAATAGTAACGTAGCGATCATGCTTCAGTCCCAGTGATTCTGAATCTAGTCTGAAGTTTTTCAGAGATGGAGAAATAGTAAGTTGCGGTATTCAAGCTATCATTGAAGTAAACTAAAAATGTATGCTAGTCTCAAATCATTAAATCAAGTTAACTCTGTCAGCCATATATAAAACAGACCAGGTCATGTTCTCATTACTTTATAATTTACAGTATCATTTTTTTATTTTTGAATTACTCATCTGAATCTGCTAACATAAGTTATCAATGCAAACAATAGGGTAAAGACTTCCATATTATGCTGTAATACAAAGGTAATGCAGAACACTGGACTGGAGCACAAACTGGAGGAAGTTCAGAACAGTCCCACTCTGAGTAGGTACAACATATCATCCTCTATGTTGGATAAGTGCAACAGTGAAAAAGGAAAAGACAGGACTTTCTTGTTGATGTCAGAGGTCTGTAAAAGAAACTTCAAACTGTGTCAGCATGCAGTAGAACTGTCAGGATCATCCTGAGTGATCAAAAAAAGGACAACATTCGGGTAATGGCTAAAAACTGTTCCCACTACAAAAGCCAAGATAACTCAAACGTAAGAGCCGATCATCAACGGAGCTGTCAGGACTTTATTAGTCGTGCCATGCTGTGTACGTGAAGGGTTAACATGCTAGATGCAACATCATTCCCGTTCTACTCAAAACATGCACAGCAGCCAATATGCTCACGACTAAAACACAGACACTCAAAAAAAGAGAGAAAAACACTACAAAGAAACAATGAAACAGAAACTTGTGATCACAGTGAGCAACGTAAAGTCGGAGGACAGCTCAGCATCAGTTGATCCAAACTTACTTCCATATTGCTGTCTAGTGATCCTGCACTGCTGCGTCTCCCACGCTTGCCTGCCCAGAACATGTAACATGACAGATAAGACATGCCTGGTTAAAATATGGAGGTGCACATATTTCTTGTCTGCGACGGCAGGATGCTAACACGCTAAAGTGGTACACGGCTAGCTGGTGGCAGACTAGCGTGGCAGAGGGAGGCGAATAAGAACTAAAGGAAATGGGAAAGGAACAAGGCACTGCTCCGAAACAAGGTCAGAGATAAATCTGTGCAGTCAACTTGAGTCACTGCTGGCAGGAAACCTTCCCATCAGCAAAACAACTGATCTGACTGCAAGAAAATGATGCTCATGTCCATTAAGATGAAAGACTCCCAAGGGACAGTTCTAAAAAAGACTGGGTGAAATCTGGCTAAAATATGCAATTATAAGCAATATTCGGTGTTTTAAACTCAATGTCACTAACTAAGGAATGTCAATGAATGTTACTGACTCAGGCTGATGGTCTAAAATTCTCAAAGGAACTATTACACCCACAAAACTGTGGCTCTCCTCATAACTGGTACTTGTAGATGTGTAGAGCTCCCCTTTAAAGATAGAGAACGTTCCCCGAGAACATCTAGGCTTCCGAAATCCAGATATTGATCAGGCTTTTAAAGGCTGTCCCCTCATTTACCAAAAAGACACACTGATAAAAAACGACAGCTCACTTCAGTCTTCGAGGTTGCTTCCTCACTTTGAGGTCATTGAGTGTGCTTGTGCAGAGCCGACTGTCTACACCCCGCCTGAATGGTAACATTAATTCCTCTTACTGCTAAGACTCTCAAATTGATCGCACTGACCTACATAGCTCTGCCTCCTCCCCCTTGCGATGCAGGATTATTAGTTGATAGCCTCTGGTAAATTATACGTAGGCCCATTAGCAAACACACCCATCTCTATCTCCTTGCTTCACTGGCTCAGACACTTTGTACCGGCAGGATGGCCGCCATGCCGTATTCCAAGTTTCTAAATCGATTAACATCCAGAAGGAGTAAACAGTGTCATGCCAGCATCTAGCACAGGTACACAATCTACTCAGCCTAGATGAGGGATGAGACAGCATGTTACTATGGCAACCCCTGACTTTACCTGCATCTGAGAGATCGCGTAGGGAGCTGCTGAGGGCGCTTCTCTTCAGACCTTCACCAATGGCATAGCTGTCGTCGAGGCTTGCTCGGCTCAGGTTTCCGTTTCCTGCATCCTTCTTTAACCCGGAGCTCTGGGACATGCTAGGCCTCACCACGCCCTTCTGTTTTTCCAGCTCAGCTGTGCAAGGAGAAAATACATATGTGCCATATACTCCTGGCTTCCACATATTTTCTACTGATGCGAGACAGCTGCTGATATCGTCTATAAAAAAATGGGAACAATTTACTCACATTCTATTCGGTACTTCTCCATCTCTTGGACTTCTGCAATAGATTCTCGCAAATCATCAGTGAACTTTTTGCGGTCCTGAGGATTGGGTGCATTGAAGTTGATGAGGACTTTGATATCAGCTCCAGGAATGGCTGAAGTCAGGCGAACGCCATTGGGATAGTCTAAAGAATGATGAAAATAACATTTCAGACATTATACTATTGAAGGACTGATGTTACCAGTAGGACATAATAGGATCTGAAACCAGCTGCGGGATATCAGAACTACCATCAGAGACAACAGATTTAGGATATTAAAGTATGTGTATGTGGAGTATGTGACTTGGATTATAGATATAATTCAAAGTTTCCATGATGGCAAGCTCTGAGGTTGGCTGTTATCCATCAAAAAGGAACTTTCCAATAGACTTTCCCATTGGGATTTCTGTTAAAGGAACCATGTGACTTAAGTTTAAGTGCGAGAGTTTAACCTTCAAACAGTCCTTGTTTAGGAGGTTCTGTTGATGGAACATTTGGGATCTTTGACTTTGTTCATTTGTATTCTTGTATTTTCCCACTAGTGTCCATTGGCCATTTATAAGAACCTGCAACTGCAAACAGTTATTTTTTGTGCCCGCTTAGCTTTGAAAAGTCATGGAGCTACAGAGGAAGTCCTGAACTGTCTAGGAAGTTTTTGCATAGAAAGGCATCAAACCGGATTTTCAAGCATGACTTTTGTTGGTGCTATATAAATAAAAACAAATCAAATGAAATGAAATTTGACACAACAGCCTACAATGAGAAAGTCAGCTTTAACATTCGTAATAATAATTTAAAAAGATGCAGTTTAAAAGTAATAGTTTCTTAAAATGTCTGCTAATCAATTTGCGTTATGAGATCAGACCAAAAACAGGGCTGAAGAAACTTGTGGTTCCCTAACATTAGTTCCTAGAACTAAGGGGTCTGGGGACTCTCAGTGGACACACATCTATATCACAGTGAGTGCTTCATGCAAATACTACTTACACTGATTCTCAAAGAGGAGGACTTGCATGCCATAAAGAGAGAAGGACTGTCGAAAGCTGTATGTCACAGAATTCTTTTTCTTCTGGAAGATTTTTGTAACCTGTGAAAAAAGCAAAGCACACACTCTTTTTAAGACTCTTTCACTCTAAAACAGAGTTTGTTCTCTTTTTACTGAAAGTAACATCTGCCGTACCACTAGCAAGTCATTGAAAAGGAAGATCTCCCTTTGGTGCAGGCCCAACTTTTGAGGTTTGTTGGGGTCGGGCACTTCAAAAAGTCTGCAGTAACAGACCAGTCTCCGGTGGGGTAGAGATAGCACCTGCACAACACAATACAGTATAATTTCTTATTCTGTCTCTTGGTGCTTCACAGAGAGCTTTCAAACATGCTGCTTCAAACTTTATGCCTCATACAGCCTTGAGGAATAACAGAAAAATCCCACTCAGTGCTAATATGAAAATAATTGAAAGGAAATACTTACACAGCCAAGACCATGATGTAAAGAGCCAATCTAAGGAGTAAGAAATCAAACAAAACACATTTCAGAGCTTGAGGGACACATGTGAAAATGTATGCAACAAGAATGATAAGAAGTTTCAAGCAATGTTTAAGACCAAATTAAAAACCAAAACAGTTTTACGGATGACAGAACCACGCTGCAAGAATCCTTCACTTTCCTCTTTTCCGACTCCGTCCCCCATAATGGTCATGACATCATAAGGATCATCTCTCAGGTATCGACTCACAGAAGGAGTAGTTTTCAAATAAACGGCTTTAAGATCATTATGAGTGAGGCTGTTTATCTCATTTTTACACAGCTTGTTAGCTCAGACTTTTCTTGTGGTTGGTACTCAGGGCAAACAACATACTGCAGTAATTCACAATGGTATAGTAGCCCTGAAGGGTCGCACGGTGAAGAAAGCTGGCCATGAATTAACCATCACACTATAGCAGTTCAGAGGCACACTGGGTAATTTAGTGTTAATGCTCCTGCTTGGATTCAGCTCTTGAGTGGAGGTTTTTAAAAGAAAAGGAGTTTCACTTCACATGTAGCTGTCCAAGGTCAAACTCCAACTTACTGGCTTTTTTCCAACGATTAGCTTTTCCACTTTCTGAACCTGGGAAACGTGGTCTTCGTTAGTCTTGAGCTCCCGCTTGCGAATCCGTTCGTATATCCCTACGAGCATCTCTCGGGGGATGTCCTCCCCATCATCGACTCCTGCCGGGGGATAAGAGGAAAAGAGAAATAGAGAAAAAAAGAGGGATTAATGATTAAATTGCAGATTTATGCAAGCCAAACCTCTAAATATACTTACTTGCTGCATTGCTTATGTATCGCAAAATACATACAGAAATGTCCTTCAAAGCTCTTTGTGGACAAGTATTTTCTCCTCCATTCAATACTGTACTTTAATTACAGACACTTCAATAGGCAGAAAAATTATTCAGTCATGCCATAAAGCCATTTCCTAATACCCTCAAAATCTGTTGAGGACAACTAAAAAGTACTTTGCTTCGACAGGAAAGCTTTCTTGGCCATGACTTCCAAAAAAATAAATACCTTATTGACATGGCCATTAATCAAGGCAATGTGCATGCACAAAACTCAATTTTAAGATGAATATTTATCCTCAGAGAAACAGTAATGTGTCAGGGGAATACTGGTTTTGTGACAGAACGTTGGATGTGGTGCAGTGAGGGAGAACAAAGTACCTCGAAGGTTCTTAACAAAGTCCTCCAGCTTCATCTTCCTCTCAGGCTTGACGTTGGGGCTGTACATGTCAGTGTTGAGGAGGATGATTGCAAAGGCAAGGATGAAGATGGTGTCGGGGTTCCTGAATTGTCGCACCACACCGGGGTTGCAGATGCAGTAACGCTGGCTGGGAAGAATATGTAAGGAGCAGAAACTGAATGCAAAAATCATTGTTCTGATAAAAACAACATGTGTGTAAATTAATATTTGGGCCATTAATCCACCTATATTTACCCCTAACAGACAAAAGCAAAACTATTTACTTTAATAGCACAACTGTGCTATCAAAGTGCAGCCATTGCTAACTTTAGCTAGATAAACTAATATATTAACAGAGCTATTGTATGTATTATAAGAATTTACTATGATGTCTTTACATAGTCTACATCTAAATATAAGCATTACATTAAATGCATCAGTACTGACTAACATACAGTAGGTGACAATATGCTAAAATTAGCACGCTAGACTAATTAGCTCATTTAGACGACCCAAAGACTTGAGACCTGAGCCAGTTTCTAAAAATGACCTTAATGCTACTGAAATAACACAAATGATATTACATCAATTTCACTTTGACTTATGTTAGATGCATTCTGGAAAGTTACAATACAATGTTTTGCTTGAACATAGGAGCTAGTTGATAAGAAGGCATCAGTAAGACAACTTACTGGCAAAGTAAAGGTGTAAGCTTCCCTGTAAGCGATTAGTTCGGGGCATAGATATCAATGCTTCACCTGATATTAATATTGAGCTCTCTGCTATCTGTTCTGCAGTCAAAGAAATAATGTGCAAGTACAGTAACATCTGTCAATACAGGCTCCATGTATTACACGGGCAATTTCTGAACCACCACAAAGGGAGCTTGTACTCATATCTGGATATGGCTGCAGGTGAGCACCAGATGAGCAGTCATCACTATCTCCCCTGTAACTGTGCTGTTTACTGAGGCCGAAATGTCCTTGCTCACTGCTGATCGAAGCGAATTCTCTATGCACACGAGGGCACCTTTTCTGCTGGAAGTTTTGGAAAAGTAAATGAGGCACAAACAACATCTATCAGCAGCCCTGAGGGAGGTATTCCTTCACTCTTTGAACTAATTTTCTCTAAATCATTTTCTACAATGCCTTGGCCAAACAAAAGTCTGGATTTGAAATGGCTTTGCACCGCTCTATTGCTTTCTGCTCACGACCGTTACATTTAGACTTTTTGGTGTCACCTTTGTTTTAGAGGATAATGGTGTTGTTGAAATGGAGCAAAGCTGGTTTGTGCTATCCATTAATCATATTGGTGATTGGTGGTAAATACTAGACACGGCAATGAACCCCATAATGACCATCCTGTCACATAATCAGTTAGTCTAAATTGATGTATGACCCTATTTGCAAAAACATCATTTTACACCTCCTTTCTACAGAAAGGCACATGAAGTGGTTTAGATTTAAGCTACCTACATTGGTTTGGGAACTAAAGCCATGGTTTTGCACCCAACTTTTAAAAGCATGCCTTACCTGAAGGCCTCTATCAGTCGCTCTACCTTCTGTGCTTCCCCTTGGACTCTGATGTGTGCCTGGAATTTCCTGAGCGCTTCATCCAGCTCCATAGCTGAGAAGTCCATTTCATCCACTACGCAGCTGGTGAAAAACACACGAGTTCACAGTGAGCAGGAAGTTTGGGAGTGTAACAAGCACCTGCCAGTTCAACTGAGAATAATTTAAAAGTTGTTGGGGTTCTTTTTGGCCACATAGGTGAAGAACAGTTGCAGAAGTTTAAGATTAAGGATGACTGCAAACTTGGCTGTTGTCAGTGAGTAAGCTGATCTGCTGTTGATTTTTCAGATTATATGCAGGACATGAAAGGGAGCAAGAGTTTTTCTGCTCACTTGACACTTACTTAAGTAAAGGAAATGTTCATTTCTTTCTCTGCTGAGAAGAGGATTGTGACTCAGCACTCCAGAGCAGTGATACCTTGCATGTCTGGATTTATAGACATTTTCTCAAGGAGCCCTTTAGTTATGCCTGTCAAGCTGACACCAGCGGACCTTTTCTGGCCTTATCCTCCAATGAATCTCAATAGGCTCTGACAGAGCTGGTGTATTTCAAGTGGGTCTAAGATAAGTCTGTGCAATCTAAAGCACGAGGCACTATTGGAATGATACAAAGGAGTGGAGAGTAGACAATCTATATGACTGCTCTCTCATATCAAAAAACCTGGAAACTATAAAGAGGATCTGTATGTTTATCTGAGCATCATGGCAATTTCCTGAGTGGATTCCATTTCTGCTTATTTCCTGCATGTAACTTGAGTCATTATATAGTCCTTAGACAGTGTGAATGAGGGTAAATTACAAACTGCCAACCTTATGTGCAACTAAATGATGATTTATATTTATGTTCCCTGGAGGCAAATAAACTAACATTCTGTGCACTGGCATAGTTGGCAACTTAAATCAAAAGCCTGAAATGATTCATCCTCAAATACAAATATTCCAAAAGAGTACACCGGCATGATCTGCTGAAGACTCACTCGAGGACATCCCGGTTGAACTGTTTCTGCCGATTACCCAGGAACTCGCCAATCATCTGCCTACTCAAGCCTTTCCTCTGGAGCAGGAAGTGGGCCACACCCACCGGAGTGTCTGGAACAAAGTTTCGCTCTATCAGATACTGGATGCCTTTTTCTGGCTTCCTAGAGACACAGGAAAGAGTAGAGAAAGAGAGACCAAAAAAGAAAGAGGCAAAATGAGAGTGGGTGAGGACACATTCCAAATCTGTGATTATCCCGTTGCGCTCCTAACCCGGCCAAATGTGTGTCGCATGAGGGACAGGACGTAGGGAAGCCAGGAGAGAGTTACAACTCTCTACGGTGTTGATCACAAATGATTAAAAGGCATTTTATAGCGGGCTCAGAAAGCAACCAAATCCACAATCAGCAATGATTAAACAGATTCAGCCGGGCTCAAACGAACTGGAGCAGAATGAGTTTGAAGCTTGCTTGCACTTTACGCAGAACAGGCAGAGATAGTTCTTGTTCCAAACAACTTCATTGCATTTTAATGTGAGGTTCATTTCGAGTTTCTAAGACAAAAAAACAAACACAAAAATCCCATTTTGTAAGTCATGTGAAATGAACTGCATCGAATTTGAACAAGCCAAAGAGTGTGAATGTATCATGTGTTAAGTGACGTTCTATCGTGTGGACGTACTTGTTGAAGAGATTTAGGCCAATGCGGTAATGCCTCTTGCGAATGATGTCATTGCTGAATGCAGGTGAGTCCCAGCTGTTGCGAGTTTCTTTGTGGTACGTCTGCTTGCTGAGCGTCTGTTCACGCAGGCTGTCCCTGGACGAGGATTCAGAACTACAATTGATGGTATCGTTGGAGTTCGATGTGCTGTTGATGCTGTCATTGTCGCCATCTGAGAAATCCGACTCTGACTTGCTCTGCCGGTTTGCTGTACCATTGATTGCCAGATGGGCCTCCAGCTGTCGCGATCGATGTCGGGAAGTGTCTTCTTCTCTGGAAGGCCCTCGAGGTGGCAGGCTGTGGCTGACTTGTTTAGGGCTACTCTGCTGGTTGCTGATGCTTCGTTCGTAGGCATTCTGTCTCTTTAAAGAGCTGCGGTCAGAACGATCACTCAGCTCCACTGAGCTATCACTGGGAGGCTCTATGGTCAATAAGGGTAGGTGATCTACCCGTAGACGTTGCTCTTGGCATTCCAAGGAGGGTGTACTGCGGCAGCTGGTATCGGTGTCCCCTTTTTCATCCTTATGAGCAAGAGACCAATAATCTTGTGAGGAGTTGAGCGAACGCTGGCGCAAGTCTGATTCTGTGCTTGAGGGCCGGTCTACAGACTGAGAAAGAGGAAGGGGTGGTGACAACTCCTCTTCGTCGATGTACAGGGTGACATCGCTGTAAGACGCTGTCATCTCATCGAGTTTACGGTGTTCTGAGGCGCTGTGGGAGGGTTTCACCTGACAGGTGACCTCTCTGTCCATATCCTGGAGGCCTCTCCCTGGCTCTGACTGACTGTCTTCACCATGTAGGCTGCGGCAGTTCAGAGCATCATCTATGGACTCGGCTAGAGATTTCACCTGCCTTGAAAAGGCATCTTCTAGTTCTGTGATGGCATCTGTGAAGTCGCTCTGTGTGGTGGGGGTCTTGGCCTGCACACCCATCTCCCCGCCATGGTCTGACTGCCTTAGTGCACCAATTTTAGTGCCATCATCTGTGAGAGAGACCTGCTTTCCCTCGAAGTAGGAGCTATGGACTTTTTCAGGTCCTTCAAAGGAAAACTGCATTCTCATATTGGATAGGACGATCCGTCTGGACATACGGTTCTCAGACATAGAGCTTCTAAGACGCTCAAAGTTTTTGTTCATCTGGTATTGGCGGAAAGCTGTCTGTATGGTGCGGGCAGCATGCCGGGTTATGAAACGCCCACCATATTTGCGCTCTAGCATCTCCACCTGTAGGGAAAGGAGGGGAATTTGAGAGAAATGAAAACGTATTGGAAACATGGGAACACTTTCCTCAATAGTCCCTTTAGACGTGTTCTTACGAGACTTGAGACTTGCAAACGCATCCTACAATGGTACAACCGAAGCAAAAAACAAAAAACTAAACAAAAATAAGAAAACCCAGAAAGCTAATTTCCTGAGCTCTCTGGCAAAATATATTTGTCTGACACACAAAAAACATCGTTATGATAAAGATGGTTCATCTATGATCACACAGTCTAATTAAAGAGACTTGACCACATTATTTTTAAGAGATGCTAACACCAATAACTAAACAAGCTTTGTTCACTGAATGAAGCCTTGGGAGTAACAGCTGAAAGCTCTGAAAAAACTAGCAAGGATTCTAATCACTCTGTCCAAAACAACAAAATGTGTGTCTGTACGCCACAGCCTGTAAGCACAATAGGTACAGGTGGCTTGTTTTATGAGAAACAGTACATTTTCTAACTGTATGACCACTTTAGTTCATTAACATAAATGTAAGATAACCAGAAACTGCTTTTTTCTCTGAAACTGAAAAGAACAAATCCTACTGAATCATTGCAGTGCTTGAGAGAAACAGTATCCTGTCTTGTATTCTGTATATGACTATACTGAAAAGTCTCAAACTATATGCCTCTAATTGGAATAATGTCAGGGCTGAATTGCATTGTCCCCCTCTCATTCCTGCACCGCTTACACTGACCTGGTTTCCACCTATGGATTCATGGGGGTAAAAAATGACACTAAATCTATACCACTTCTGTATGGGACAGCCAAGGAGGCGAGTGGGTTTATACTTGCCACAAATGGAACATGACAGGAAGTTTCAATGCAAGAGGTTAAGCAGTGACAAAAGGATTAAGCGGTGATATCATTTCCTATCGATAATGTATTACTAATATAGATGTCATACAGATGCTATTTATTATTGAAACATTATTATTTTGAAACAATGACAGTTTGACATGTCATGTGATAAATAACTCAGAAGAGCATTTAGCTACATTTGACAGTGTGCTTAGTAACTCTGGTCTTTCTGGTTCATTCTAAGTTCTTAGTGCTTTCCTGTGGGCTTCAGATATGTGAAACTATAGAAGCAATAAATAAATGCAAACAGACTCTAGATACTCTATATAAACAAACTATGCTGTGAGTCTGTTTGGTTGGCACACAACCAGAGCTAAGGAGGGAATGATGCTCTCTACTGGGGTCACCAAAGTCACTAGATGATCTTTTATGTAGTTCTTCTAAAGGCCATGCACATATTTTCCTGTCATGTCCTTATACAAGAGTCTCAAATTCTACTCAGCAACACACTTTAATGCCTAGTTGCCTGCTTTTTCTTTGGGCTTGCTTACAGATAATACATTGTATGGTTTCCACTACCCATAGTCCTCTCCATGTTGTGGTCAAGCCACAGCCTCTGAGGCTGAACAATGAAGTCGACTTTAAAATGCCAAAAACTTCAGTTCCTCTAATGAGTACTTGAGGATGGTAGCAAATCTCAATATACGCTCAACTTACTCCTATTTAAGTCACTGAACAGGACCCTTTGACTGTGTTGATGCCTAATTTTGCTGCTAATTAAGTTATTGGTGTCCTCTGGAAAAAATGGAGGGATTCACTGTCATGTGGAGCCTTAGTACATGGCTGAAGACCAAGCAAACCATCCATGCCTACTACTGCTGGAAAAAGAAATGACTCTGACTATGAATTTTTTATGTGTTGAAAGCCTGTAACAGTCTGCACGGCCCTAAATACACATTACAAACTAACTGGACTTCCAAACTAGAAGGACTTGATGCACCACATCAGATATCATGGGGTGTAAAGCTAATAGATAATGGTGGGCAGCAAACTAATGAAAACATTATAAGAATACAATACAACAGGTTGCAATTTTTTTTTAATGTTGACAGAAGTTTTGTTTTTATACTTTCAGAATGAATCAGTCAGAAAGTGAAAAATGGAAAAACCTTGGCAGGGAACTGCAGTTTTGGCTAATAATTCTCCTTTGATGTGCCACAAAAAACTAGGATCTACTACACATCTGCTCATAATGCCTCTGTGTTCAAGCTACTCATTACTCTAAGTTTTAACAAATGTAAGTTAGTGTGGCCCTTTCCCGTCTCACCTGCTTGTCCTGTAGGTCAGATGAGAGCTCATAGCTCTCTGACAGCGAGCGGGAGCGCTTGATTGCCTCCTCTTCTGCTTGCTTGCGGAGGATGGACTGAGAGTGCTGAAGCTTGGGCCGTCTGGGCCGTGGGTGGCCTGGCAGCAAGATGTGCCCGTAGAGCTGGCTGTCCAGGTGGTCGGGGCCGAGCCCGCCGCTGTGGGTCACTGGGACACAACTGTAGCCACCACTAGGGTCCACAGAAGCTCCCACTTCAGTTCCTGGAGCATCACCTTCCACACTGCGGCACACAAACACACAGAGAGCACGCCAAGTTAGTCTGCTTAGTCATTTTCCTGAGTGCACACACTCCCTTGTGTGTGTCAGCACAGAGCACGTGACAGATGGAAAAAGTGAACTTTGATACTGCTGGCAGGGTATAAATGCGAGCGAGTGAATTTATAGCAGCAGTCAGTGTGCAGCCTGTCGTCTTTACACATTCTCTTTACAGAGCAGGAAAAACCTCAGGCTATCCCAAGCAGCCGTACGAGCGAGGCACTATGTCTTAATTAAAACAAATGAAATGACTGTGAATAAAAGCTGACTGTTAAAGACACACTTTAACTCCACCGATGCTGAAATTAACACAACATTATCAGAAACCCAATCTTACTATAAACAAAGGGGCACCATGTCAGAACTGATTAAAGCATGTGAAGTAGTGCCTTGAATATTGAGATCAATACAGACCTTTGTTCTCTCACAGAAGTTCAAACATCAGTTTGGATAAACTGGCAATGACCGACCGGCTCGCTCCATACTATAGATCGGTTCTCCCAGCATACAGCTGGTCTCCACACATCTTACACTGTTGTGATTTCCTACCATATATTTGGTTCTCACAGACAGCTCCATAAGTATTCCTGTAAAGAATCAAAGATTCTGCCTTACAGGACTGATCGGACTGCTTTTTGAATGTTTGACGTGGTGAGATCTTCCTCTCCACTGACGAATGTTTGATTTAAGAAACTTTTCCTTTGTACAAGACTGGATGTCAATGTAAGGACATTAAATGCTTATGAGACTGCAGATAAACATTTTAGTCAAAAGTGTGAAATTCCATGAAAAAGGAAGGAAGCTGAAATGAGGATTGCTGACGATAGAAAAAAAAAGATGGCAACTGAATCTATCATGAATCAAAGTGAATCTGCACTTCCTCCCGCCCACTAGTTGCAAATCATTTTTTGCTCATTTACGGCTTATACTATCCACTGCTATCTACACACTTAAAACACAAAGTATAGAGTTGCAGGTGACAGCAGCGTGTCGGTCATACAGCTGGACAGCTGTGTGGCTCACTTTAAAGTTGCTATCGGCAGGCTTCCTTTTACTTCTCCTTTTACTTCTTCATTTTGAAATAAATGTTCATTTCACAATGTAGTGGCTATAATAATGAGAACATGCGTGTTCCCTATCAGTCACACATTTACTATGCAATTCTGTTTATCACCTTGTATGATGATGATGGCTACCAAAACAGGAAGAGCATATCTACTGGGAACTTACCATAAGGAGCTGAAATACTAATGGCAGAGACAAAATTAAAGGAAACCTGTTAGCCTAATACAGGTGTTTAAAAAAGACGTTTGGCTAGCTTTGATGGGTATTCTAATGACTTACAGCTGGGAGACATGACTTTAGGTCCACGACATGAATCATCCTTTAAACTCTACATCCTTTAAACAAGCATTACTACTTAAGCATTACTGCAACTACTAAAGGTTCATTAGCTTGCATGCCCCTTTGCAATCCCCCTCCACCCCAGCTCCTCCTTTCATGCCATCATGTCACTGATTCCTGCTCTGTTCTGCACTGGGTCTTGCTGATGCTCTTACTCCATGGTGTTCCATGTATGCACATGTGTGGAGGTCCCAGAACAGAGCTACACAGCCAAATATAAATGACAGCAGATGAAATAGCTGCCTCTCTTTAAATGCCGTGGTTTTGATTGAACTGCAAATACAGTCCAACAAAAGGTGACTGCTGATATGTTCACAGTGGAATGTTTCTCATGCATGCAGTTGGTTTGCTTTCTGCACATGCCATTTTCCCGTGAATGTAGTCATGGAAGTATTTGTTGCAAAAACAACAAGAAGGAGATCACACTGAAGCAATTGGTGAACACCTCAGGTTGGTGGCCTCTTAATATGCAGTGAGGTGGGGATAATAATCATGGTGCACAACTACACTTGTATCTTTTGTTGTAGTTCTCACATATGAGTTTGAGTTGCTCTTCAGTACTAATCATTTAGACAGCAACCACTGGAGACAGCTTAACTGAATTGTTGTGTCTACATTGTTTTGTGAAAGATATCAATCAACACTACAAGAACAGGTATAATATAGTACAACTCCAATTGCTACTTCCTATTAGTGTATGCTGTCAACTGCAGTCGAGCTCACTTCTAAATTAGGCAGAACACTACATTAAATTGCTAATCAACAAAAAAAAAAAAGACAAGCCTATCATTAAGGCTGGCTGCGAACCCCTCTGTTCACCACCACCATCTAAGAACCACATGTGGTATATATCATGACTTGTTTTTGGTTTATTTGGTGAGGTCTCACTTTGGGGAGGCCTGAAAAATAGATTAGCCTAGAGCGTGGCCTCTCACCATTGATGTGTTTTGGCTCAAGTGGGGTACTTAAAGGACAGCCCAGCTGCTTATACATAGTGTGTAGGCATATTTCTGTATGTGGAGAACTGCTGTTTAAGAAACTCTGTGGTATCAGTGCAGAAGGATGGGATGTAACATTTGTTCTCCAATTCTTGATATTTTGTAACATGCATCCGTGGTTGTTACTCTTCATCTGCATCTCCTAAATAATTATTTCTGCATGACAGACTCTCTTTGTCGGCCCTCAGGAAGCAAATTTACAAGTCCACCAGCAACCAGCAACCAGGCTGAGACATCACACAAATCAGAAAGTTTCCAATAGCTTCATGTGCAATCGTGATTTGTAAAAGATCACACCAACTACTGCACTGGCATGAGGAGTGAGACATCCAGAAACACTTAGCAGATATGCTTTTCATTATCAATTCATTTCACACAGCAGCACACAACGGCAATGTCAGAAAAAACAAGACATCCATGTTGCAGGATGTTGGCCTATTGTTGGCTGTGTACCATCTGACCTGAACAGTCAGTCAGAGGCAGAAATGTGTCAGTGCTTCATCAAGCCAGGACGTGATGGGGTCTGACTTTAAAAACAATGCATAATCAGTTTGACCAGATTTCAGCAGTTTTCTCTTAAAACAAAAATGTTCCTTTTGTCATCAGTGTGATGGGTGAGGTGGAAAGGCTCATCTCTATGGGAGGATGTGTCAAAATTAGATAATAAAGGGTGAAGTAAAAGTTTGAACAGGAAAGAGATTTGACATCCAGGATAGGGTCAAAGCGGTAGACTAATGATTCCTGTCATCATTCTGAAGAGGATGATATTTAAATGGGGCTACATTCACATAAGTTAGACTTCTGCTGAGAAATATGACATATCAAAGCAAAACAGCTACATTTTATATTGGTGGTGTTCTGAGATAAATCTGAAAAATGATTCATTTGTTCAGATGCTCTAAAGAACCAAATGTGTGTTCATCTCCACACTGGGAGGTGTCCGCTCTACTCTGACCCACACAATCTGAGAAGTCCATTTCCAACATTTGTTTGTGCAATTTTATTCTTTCAGTCTAGTCTTTGGACAAGTTCCAATTTGGTTCCAATAATGCTTCGCTGACATGGAAACCTTTCTACTCCTGTCCTTGCATGGTTAGTATGGAGTTTAAACAACTCTGAAAAACAGCTGTGGTGTAACTTCTCCTGAAACCACAAACTGCTGTGTTCCTGTTTTGCTCTGTGTAAAACATTTAAACAAAAAAAAGAAGGGTTGTGTTAGTTTGTGAACTTTGAGATGAGTGAGTCGACAGATATTTAAACACTGAGAGGAGCTACGTTAACTATTTCTCCCTTCTTCAAAACTTTAAGCTCAAGTTTGTACTGGGGGAAAAAAAATGTGCCTAAAATTAACAATAGCTTAGTAGTGGCATTTAGAACAAATTTGGAAGGCCGCACATTCCTGTGGGATACTTTGCAATAATGTTTATTTGGCCAAGTCACTGTAATGAACGACAGTTTCTCTGTCACGTGATAACATCTCTCATTAGGGAAAACGTCCCCGCTCTCCAAGCTGGACACTCACGCTCATTTTAAAACCACTTTCAGCATTTTCATTCCCTTCCCTGTGCACCCTCAACACATTTTTAATTTTTAAAGGAACTAATCTAATCAGACAGAGAGAGCCCTTTAATTAGACTGAAGGGCGGGCCATAATACATCTGCTCCAGCAGAGGAAGTTTAATTGGAAATATCAATTCCGTTAGACGGAAGAAGAGCTTGGCATGCTCGAAACGTGGCACCAAATTCAAACCACTTACAGCATGCTGATGTCTTCAGTTAGCTGGTTATGTTGCATGAGAATGACTGAAGAGTATGTTGCTTATATTTCAACATGTAGTACCCCAGCAGTCAGAGAGGGAGAGAGAGATTTGTTCAGAGCAGGAAGAATGAGTGTGACAGGTTTTAGAAAACGCAAAAGGATCTCCTTCCTAGATAGCTGCAGTCTTCATACTGTAGTACTGTATAGGTGCATATTAATTAGAGGTTATACATGTAGCCAATTAACTAGCAAACTTCTAAAAAGAATGTAACTACATATTGTTGCTAAAGAGATATCATAAAGATGCTGGAAGAACTGGGATTGGCACCTCCAATGTTTGAGATGCTGATGGAGGTAATTCCACTACCGTAGTTTGGTACGTGTTTGGATCAGTGCTGGACCACAAACTGAGGTGCAGCAGCGACTGTGGGGAGCATGACTGAAGCAGGAAGTACCCGGATCACTGATATTTGTTTAAGCTAAGTGTATCAGTGTTACCGTGTTGGGACTCCACTTGTGTTAACTATAATCTGGCTTCAACCTAACACACTGCTACAGCTTCCAAAATGTCAGCCAGTTGAATAATTGAACTGCTTTCATAAGAGTAGCTCTTTCTATTTCACTTATCCTGTTAGCAGTGGAACATTTCAGCCTTACATCTGAACACCCCGCTCATATTTCAGTGATTGACAGCCATCTTATTACTACATTAGACCGAGTAACATTTCTGAATGAGTTTCAGTGCAGAACAAACACGAATGCAGTTGACAACTGACAAACGCCTAACAGCCACGTGACATAATC